AAATCTTTTACATAGAGTATCAATCAGTCAGCTATCCAAGATTTATCTCCAATCACTTTTACCTGTGTCACCAGGCTATTAGACCAGTACATTTAATTCTGTTAGGCAAGTTAGACACGTGTCTTCACCCCAATGGAATAACATCTTTTTACTTGTTGGCCAAGTATTTCCCCCTTAGTATAAATATCACCTTCTAGCTTGGGGAAAGGGATCCGAATTTCGCTGTAAGAGCTTGCTATTATTCTGCCCAATTTTCTACCCGATCTTACTTAGCACTTTTTAGTCTCTCTTACTTTCTCAGATTCCGGCTACCTCTAGGTCGACGGTCCATCAATTTGGTGCTATCGTTGAGAGCTGAACGGTGGATCAAGTCATATCCTCCATATTTCACAAATCTATAGCAAGCTTTCCTTCAAACAACAATGCTGGAAAAAAGAATGACAAGAAACATGCGTGCTGCTACTCCCGTCGCTCAACCTAAGACGTTGGTAAAAACTACTGCTACCTCTGGTCTTCGGAGATCCGCTAAGGGAAAGAAAATCGCCCCAATGCATGTGGATCTGCGCAGCCAGATCCAGCGGAATTCTACAGATCTTCGCCACCATCTTACCCAAAATCGGGATCCAGCGGCAATGCCGTCCGTTCAGGTGGTGCCACAACTTCAGAAGTTTCTGATTGCGGAACCCTATGCGGTGGTTGGTGCCCTCATCTCAAGATTGCATCAGATCTTACCAACGTTGCAGTCCCAGGCGGCAGTGGGAGCAGCGAACAACGCAGCGAGACAAATCTCTCCGGTGGATTTAAGGCCACAATCTCTGAGTGTGTGGTCGATTGAGACCCCGTGGGTTGTCCAGCGACCCGTAGAAAGGTGTATCCCTCATCCCCTCCACGCCGGCATCTGGCGCTGCTGGGTTCTGCGATTCCAACCGCATAGTAGATTGGCGTTTCTCGCCAACAAGCCACACCAAGGACCCATTCTCCTGCGCTGCGCCATGTAGCTTCCAGCGCCCCTATCAATGTTGTGTCTCTAACACAGTAGGCGAGAACTTCCCTCCCTTGGCAACGCAACAGTTCGTGGCCCCACCGCCACCCCCTATGCTGCCACCGAAATACACGGCACACTGTATGGACTTCGGTTGCCGTAATGATGAAGGCATCTACGCCATCACCACTGAGGACTCATCACAATCCTTGCCCCATACGAGCAACAAGAGGATAATAACCTCAATCCGTAGATTGAAGTGGGAAGGTGTGCCATCTTCAATCACCTGGTTGACAGATCTACGACGAACCAGCGCCTATCTGTCAACATCTGAGGAGTGTGCACAATTCGGTAAACTGACTGAACCAAACCGATACTGAAATTTCGGTACGTACCAAATTTACATCCAATCCCCCACAATCTACATCCACCCGTAAACCCCTACCTACCACCCACCCTCTTAATTACCTTGTCCCTCACCCCTAATCTCTTATCCCAACTCAAACGCCACGTGGGTGGAGATAGGGTAAGGTGAGGGTACGGGGATGAGGTTGGTGTAAGGTGGGGGTAGGGGTTCATGGGGTAGGTTGGGGTTCAGTGGTAGGGGGTTAGGGACATGAGAGGGGTATACTTGTCAATATGAAAAAGTTTGACAAGTTCCTTAGTAAAGTATGAAGGGTGGTGTGCTCACTAAGTAATACTTCAAGGCATAAAAAGTTGAAAAAATGACATGTATATTACTAATAGAGTTTTCCCAAACAAAAATATGACCAGTTACGTTTTTGGACAAAAATATGACTAGTCACTATAGTGTATCTTAGAATGACAGATGAGTCACTGTGAATATGTCACTTTTTTGGAAAATTTTAAAATAAGTCATATTTTTGTCTTTTGAATTTAATTTAGTGAATAAGTCATATTTTTGTCTTTTGAATATATAAGCATTATTGGCAGCCTTTTTATTTTATCATTTATATATATATTCATCTTTTTTGTATATTATCTTTTCATAATAGCTTATCTTTGTATCTTTATTCCTTCTTTTCCTTTTGGTTGTGATATCATGTATCGATTCATGTTAGCCGACCCCAATATCTTTTGGGACTAAGGCTTGGATGGATGGATGGATGAATTTAATTTAGTAATATTCACGAGAAAAGACCTAAAAAGTTAAAAAGTACTCCTGTTTTTTCAAGTACACAATTGTCAAAAATATGTGTATTTGACCTGTGTTAATAAGCCTCTATTTCCATCGGCTAATTAACAACTGATGTGATTGCTAAACACCACTTATTACTTATACATTATGCCCAAGAGAAATTGGCTCATATGCTTTGAATGTGGAGCCATAAACCCTTTTGGGACATTAATTCGCCTTTGATTTCTCTTTTGTTTTTGGTTTGTCGCCTATAGCTCCTAGGATTATTGAAAATAGAACGAGTACTGTAATATCTTTAACATTTTCCAGTGTAAAGACAGCTCGATTAACATTTTCCACTGTGCTGGTGAAGAAAATCGTACATAACTTTTTTTGAAATACAAAATAGTCAATACTTTTAAAAAATTTAAAGAGACGAAATGATTATAGAATAACTAAAGTAGGAAACAAATTAAGCAAAATCGGTAAAACTATTAGGAAATTAGATAGTACTTGCGAGTTACGGCTCGTATGTCACACAACATTGACTACCGTATATTGCTACAACAACAACATCCCTAATCCCAAAAGAAAAAAGTAAGATAAAATGAATAAAATAAAGATAAATAAGTATAAGCTAACAATAACACAAGAATATAAGAAAGGTACAAGATAAAAAATAAAAGACCATAAAAAGCTAGAAGATAAAAATAGCATAAGAATATAAAAAGATAAGTAACATAAACGATAAAAGAAAAAAGAGAGGAAAGGTAGACAACACATCAATCATCCACACGGATGTGCACCTTACCCTCCACTTTGTTCTCTCCAAAGCCATACTCTCATTCAACCCAAGAAGACGCATATCAGTTCTGATTTCTTTAATCCAAGTCTGTTTGGGTCTTCCCCTCCCTCTCTTTTCTGCCTCTTCTCCCCCCTCAAGTCGTCTAACAGGTGCATCAACCGGTCTTCTACGCACATGCCCTACGGTCACGAAGGCGAGCAAGTCTGTAGATATATTTTTCTCCTTCCTTAGAATCCAACTTCACATACAATTCCTTGTTCACTTTACTCTATATTGCTACACACTAAAAAATAATTATGGGATTGGCTCGTGCCAAATAGATCGTGCCAAATAGATGGTGTCAAAGTGTTTTTGACACGCATTTGGCGTATTCTTGCCAAATCTTTCTTGAAGTTTTTCAAATCCTCGCAAAAAAACTATGCCAATCACGTGTTTCTTTTCTTTTGTAGTGATAGTAGCATTTCTTTCTTAACTTCGTAAATTTACTATTTTTATTTTATTCTTGTAGTTTATATGTAGTATTATATTTCTTTTTATTCCCTAACTAATCATAACAACCTCTGTTTGATTACGCAACAATTGCCAGTCTTTGTCTTTTTACGCAACTAATGATCTCCTATTATTCTTTGTCATGTTATCCAAAAGTTATGTAATTTTTTTTGGGAATTTTATCAATTCAGGACCCGAAAGATAGATGAATTATCAATCCGGGACCTGAAAGATGAAATGTATCGATATAGGACCCGAATGATGGAAAACTATCAATTTAGGACTTGAATGATCGGAAATTATCAATTTGTGACCTAAGTTGTCCGAAATTTTATTAATTTTGTTATCTTATTTTTTTAAATATTATTTAGTTTTATGAAACTAATAAACTTTTGTGAAGAAAAGTTTATAAAAATTCAGGGTGTTTTTCTTGTTGATTCTCTCTCAACCGATATCATTTCCTATTTTTTTTTTACTCTAGGGGGCGTCAGAGGGAGGGGGGCCTGAAGTAATCAGGGCTAAAACTTACTCCGTTGAATTTCAAACCCTTATGTGCCTAGCGGATTTCGAACTCGAGACCTCTCACTACGCACGGTAACCTCACAACCAGCTGGACTGGAATGCTTGGTTTATCATTTCCTAAATAAATAACTAAGTCATCTAGTTGTGTTTTTTTTGTGGTGATTGTCAATTTATAGAAATTTTTCTTTTCTTCATTTCAAACAAACAATTTTGCATAGATCAGATATACTCAATTCATTTTGTTGGATTACTATTTGTTTCGAAAAACTATAAGTGTGGGCACGTAGTTTCTTATTCATTTGTTGTATTACATCAATACATGTCACCTATTTAATTAGGCGTTAATTTTTTTCAAGTATCCGAATCGAATAAATGAATCTTATTTTCATATAGATGAATGTATACAAAATAACAAAAACATACAATGAAAAATGTATCACTAAGAAAGTGTTTACTTGGACTTGAATTTGAGGATGTGGTCTGATATGGTCTGTTAAATGCCTGGTCTCTGTTTATTTTATAACTATACAAGTCTGGTCTGATTTGGAATTGAAAACAATTCAAGTAAAAACATTCTAACATCACTCGTTAACGAGATGGAGAAAGTTTGTAGGATATCTACAAAAAGTATGAGTCAATATTATTCCTTAAATAGGAAAAATGTTTATAATCCGAAATGATATAAAAATACATGTCCTTTGTTAAAACTATTTTTAATACATGTATAAAATGTACAACGTGTTAGACATTGACTAAAAAGGTGAGAGAAAATAAAGTGGTGAGAAAGTTAAAAAAAGTGGCCGGTAATTTTATTGAGATTAAAATGCATAAATGTTCTTTGAATTATCATCAGGTCCTTGAGTTAAAATTGACGGTTAATATTGACGGTAGAAGCACGGTAACCTCACAACGAGCTGGAATGTTTGATTTATTAACATATCATAGTTTTAAACATTTTAGAACAATATTCTTTGTACCGGTTGAGAGCCCCTGATTATGTATCTAGCTAGCTCATTAATATATATATTATATATTCTCATTGATGGATGATCATCACAATTAAATGGGTAAAGGTGATACTTCCTCCTCTTCTTCTTCTTCTAGGGGCGGGGCGTGTGAAACTGTATTGAGGCTATGCGTGTGTATTGTGATTGCAATGGATTTATGTGCAGCGTTATTTGGTTGGATGGCAGAGAGAAGTCAAGATGAAGTAAGTAAATTGAATTAAGGTACGTACGTTCATATATATATATATATATATAATGATAGATGGATGGAATTGAAGTGGATGATATGTATGTGTGTGTGTAGGTGAAGAGCGTTGGTGCGCTGGGGTTTGAGTGTACGAAGAGGAGAAACCACAGCGCTTATGCGCTGGGGTCACTGGCAGCGCATATGGTGGGAATTGGTCATGTGGCGGCCCTCTGCCTTGGACGCTGCTTGTGGGTGCCAGGGTGTTGGGAATGTTGCTGTGGCTCCGGACTCAACCCTCCAACAAATACTATGTCCTGGGTTGCGTGGGGGGCAATGTGGTATGTATGCAACATGCTTTTTCCATCCATCTTTCATCACATCATATCATATCATATTATATATGTGCGTACCGCAGGTTATCTTTCGTGATGGCAGAAGTCCTGCTGGTGCGGGCAACGAATGAGAACAAAAAGTCGTCCACAATATCGTGTCACATCTCTACCGATGGGTGGCTCAAGTGGGGAGCATATGCTGCCCTTGCCCACCTCCTCTCTGCAATCGCATTCCGTTTCTATGCAGCTAAAGCCTACACCCCTTCTCTACCCGCCACCCACTCCACAGCTTGAGACTATCGCGCGATCATTCTGTCATTGGGAGGGAGATAATTGAAAATTTATATATATTCTCTCATGGAACAATAAGAATTGCTACAATGAATCCCAAACTTTACAATGTAACGTTGAAGTAAATGTTATTATCACTCGATCGTTAAATCGTTTAACTGTCATATACATCAGCTCCAAATATATCTACAAGGTTTGAAATCCCAATCAAAAGGCACTATGCCAAATCAAGAAGCATTAAAACCACAAATAGAGGGATTGTGATCGAGGAAAGCTGCCTAATGCTTTCATGTAGTGGTCTCTGCTCTATCCGCATATTATCGTGTATGGGAGTGAGTTGTAACCTATCTTGACTGTTTTTTAGAAAAAGTACCTTATAAGGGCAGAATAGATGTGTTCGTTTTCATCTTTTTTATTTTCTAATGAACTATTACTTTCTAATTTACTTCAGCTAAAAAAAGCAGGGGGAGTCATATGGTTCGATTAATTACCCACCAACCTCATGTGGTAGAAGACAAATCAATATACTCTTCATCATATAGATTTCTCTCATGAAGTTATCTCACACTAAACATATGTCCAAGAATCATCATTAATTAGGGATGCCCCAAAGTTTAATTAATTCCAGAGAATTGAAATTCCAATGGTAATCATGAGAGTGTGCCCGAGTCGAAGGATAGATCTTACACATATATTCACGATGTATTTATATGGTTGAATTGCTTGAAAGCGTATATATAGCAAAATGATCGAATCATAATCTATTGTAATACAAAAGCAAAGAGAATATTGGTCTATATGCGTGCATACAAGTAATCCACAGAAAATTGCCTTACATTAACACTAAATTTGTGTCACTAAAAGTTTATGTGACACTAAGAAATGTCAAGGAAGTGGCGGCTAGTGACACCAAATGAAGTGTCACTAAAAGTGTCACACACTTATGACACCATAATATCATATAAAGTTATGACACTACTGTATCACCAAACTCAATGACACACATGTATCATAAAAACAAACACGTGATGGTGGTTTGCTACCGGATTAATATATGTGTGTGTGTGTTCAAATAAGAAAACCATCTAGGGAGAGAAATAAGAATGACCCTAAACCCTTAGATTTGATTTATTAGTTAATTTTATTATTTTCGGAGAGGGGTTTTATGGTCATTTGCGTTTCCTTCTAAGTTTAACGCTCTAATTCCTTATTTTGCCCTAATTAATCGTTACTTGCTTTCTTTCTCTTAAGTAACGCTCTAATTCCTTGTTCACAGTCACAACTCTTTCTTTTTCACAAAATTTCATCTCCAATTTCTTCTTCCCATGGATACTATACAGTTCTTGATCTTTCGCCCATGAATTCCTCTCCTTTCAAGAGAACCCTCCACTACCTGAACTCTTCCTGATTGTTCATCTTCTTCGTAAAATACTCATCCTCCATTGTTTCTTTTTTCTTTCCTTAATTTCATCGACAGTCACATACGGTTTCATCAAGAGTTACTCCTTTAAATGGACTTCAGTAAGTTTGAGCAATCTGTGATTTGAGTGATTGGAGTCATTCGATCAGGTAAAACCTTAGGGCTATCCAGTGCTCCAAATTAAATACGGAGTATTTTGTATAGGCAGTTTCATTCATTCCACCAAGACGATCTCTTTCCTTGTCTAATTCTCTGCTCATTGACTCATCTCTCTCTGCTCCAATTACTTTTCTTTCGCTCCGACAAACTCTAAAAGATGAAGATTGTAGGCTAGTCGCCGCAAGCTCGTTCTTACGAATTTCTTCGTCGATAGCGTGAAGCCGAGTGGGCGTCATTGGTTTATATCTAAAGAAGATCACCGAATTCGCTTCTGTTTTTGCTATCTCTTCGCTCAAGATCTAAGACGGAGTATTTTCTAACCTCTTGGAGCTACTCTTTCGATCATACATACAGCTTCCAAATAGGCCGTGTTCTTCACTTTTTCCATTCTCCATAACCTGCCTGCACAGAGAGGTATAACAATTATTCAATCTTGTTTGTGCGGATAGATGAATTTTGATTACTCAGCATAAAAATCCGGCAAATATCAATGTACAGTTCTAGCGCGGTTTATCAAATCTAGAAGGTGAGCTTCAAATTCTTCAATTTTACATAATTTGTAAATCTCAAAACCCTAAAACTCTAATAAGTAATCCCTCGAAATTGTCTTTATATCTTGTGGTTTTAGTTTAGAAGAACGCAGTTAATGATTTATGATTGTGATGAATCTACAAGTCATCCTTTTGGGCATAAGCACTGCCTCTATTTTGAAACTTTCTAATTCATTAAAATGATGACTCTTATTCTAGTTTATATATTCTTCATTTCCCTTGGAACTCATTAGTTTAATATGTCGTTGTTTTTCTTAATTCTGATCTTGGTAATTTTGCTGAAGTTATTTCCTGAATCTATGGATTGAAAAATAAGTTATTGATTTCATTTTAGAGGTTAAGCTTAATTAGCTAGTAGTTATGTTGATGAGACTTTTAAGAATCACTATGAGGTGCACTTGTTGTTTCTGCTACTGATTGTTCCCAAGGTATTTTGATCACATAGTTGCAGACTTGCAGAATGATAAAATAGAAAATAGAAGTTACATGTTTTATTTTAGAAGTTAAGCTTACTTAACTAGTAGTTATAATGATGATTGTAGTTAAAATTCGTCTTTTGCACTTACGATAGGACAAATTCATAACTCAGTGATCGTGTTGTTTATTTTGGTTTAAATTGACTTATGTTACATAAATATTTTAAAGATTTGGATTTGATTAGTTTTTGTTAAGGTAGAAGTTATAGGTTTTGTTTTAGAAGTTATAGATTTTGTTTTAGAAGTTAAGCTTACTTAACTAATAGTTATATTGATGAGTGTAGTTAAGAATTGTCATTTGCGCTTATGACAAGACAAATTCATAATGCACTGATTGTGTTGATTATTTATGCTTAAATTGATTTATGTTGCATAAATATTTCAAAGCTTTGTAATTGATTAGTTTTTGTTAAGGTAGAAGTTATGGTTTAGTTTGCTAAAATGTGTTTTTCCCCACCTCTAGAAATGAGAAGAATATTTGAACAAACCAATGAACATCAGATTGGTGCTAAATTAATGAAGTTATACCTTTTGGATTACAAGTTATACTCATGGTTTTAGAGGTCTTGGGAGTTTTGGTAAAAGTTAAGCCTTTGGGTTTAAAAGTTAAGTTTTATGATCTATAGGTTATAGTAATTTGAGAAGGCACGAAGGTTTAGTAAACTACGAATTCCTCCGCAACAGCTTGCAATATCTCTCACTTATATAAAGCGTCCTGATTGTTTAGAGCTAACAAAAATATTATGAATATTATTTTTAATGAAAACAAATTCACTTTTTTCTTTCACATTATAGCACGAAATAGAAGTTATGTATTTATTTTTAGAAGTGTAACTTAGTTAATTAGAAGTTATGAGAGAAGTAGTCTCATTAGTATTTGAGAGAAAAGTATTGAACAATCTTTATATATAACCCATAAGAGATATAAATCAAAATCATTTTTTATCACAAATGGCTATTTATGTAAGACCATCTGAATATAGAATAGCCTACAATGAAAGGTCTTTTGAAGTAATTAGACTAAATGTTACAAATTTCTTATAAGAAGTCATTAAATAGGCTTTACCAGTGTGGTTGTAAAGTATTTTTCTTGATTGTTGATATGGAAAAACCTTGAACTAGCCAATAATAATGTCAAAGAACCATCGAGAGATCAACATGCTTCTCTTGATAATGATGGTACTCTAAGTAATTTCTTTTGTAAGATTTCAAATTTATGATACTACAAGTAATGAATTTATCTTTACAAGTTATCATTCTGACTGTATTAGTGTGTGCTAACAAATTATGACTTTATCTATATCCTAGTTACATTTTCAAGGCAGAATTATGAGAACAAAGTTTTGAAGGAAGAAAACTAAAAAATATTAATTTTTCTCATGATGTAGTCGAAGAATCATTCTTAGATCAACATGCTTTTGTTGATGTTTATGTATTGAAGTGTGTGTTAACAAAAGATTTGTTCTCACTTTTGCAGATGAGAACAACTTCAGATAAACCAAAGAAGGATGTATTGGTGCTGAAAAATAGAGACAATTTAACTTTGACTTTGTTGTTCCTCAGATGTTGTTCTTGGAGCTATTGTACTATTGTTTTCACATGTTATACATATTCAAATTGCAATACTATTCTTATTAGAAAAATTCAGAATATATATTGACTTTATTTATCAGTTATTTTCCAAAGTGCCTTATTGTCACACCATTTTACTTTTCTAAAAAAATTCTCAAATTAGAAGATTGTGTTCCAAATCTGTTTCGCCCTATCATAGTTCAATAAAAGAAAGATAAGAATAGAAATGCTGTGGTTGCGATATAAGGAAAAAAGAAGCAAAGAGATATTAAAGAAAAGAAGTGGTATCAGGAAAAGAATGAAACACACATGAATAAATAGAAAGTGCCCGACAGTTGTAAAATAGTAATGTCTTTTTATCTAGGCTAAAAGGTTCTGCCCAGCCGTCGCCAATTGGGGAAGTTCCCGGTGGAATTTTTTGATGAAAGTTTTTGAGCATGTTTTTCATTAAGTCTAGTTTACTCATACCAAATTTCAGCTAAAAATTCAACCGGGAAGGCATTCAAATGAGTTTTTGAAGATAACTGCGCAGTTAAACAGCGCAGTATATTTCGGAAAATGATTTGACTGCCTTACCGATTTAATCTTTAGCTGAAATTTGATATGGCTAAAGTAGATTTAATGAAGAAGATGCTCAAAAAATTTAATCAAAATTTTTTACCGGGAACTGCCCCAATTAGCGACGGTCGGGCAGAAGCTCCTATATAAGGGGCTAATTGAACACTTTAAGTTAGTTTATGTACCTATTTGACCCTTTAGCCTTTTATCTAATAGTTAAAGTAATATGGGTAAAAGTATTTTTATAATAAATCACGTTAGATTGCATGGTGAGACTTAAAGTTGTGCTATTATAAAATGATACAATAAATTGAAACAAAAAAAACTTTTAATATTTAATTTTATAGTTCGTGATAAAGAAATGCAAAATACGTATAATATTTGCCTTAAGAGTGTTAACAAGTATGTTAGAATTGTCAATATCTTTATTTAGGCTGTGGGACTTGAACACACACCATGTGCAAATTTACACATTGCTCTACGAGTTGAGCTAATAGCCTTGAAATGTTGATTGTGTACCATAAGAATCCATTTTTGTGTTCCAAATTCCAATCCTCATTTCCAAACAAGCGAAACTAGCATACTTTTTGGAATTGACTAAGCTATAAGAAAAGCTCATCCTGAGTTTCAATAAAAAGACAAAGAAATAATGACGATGATAATACACAGAAAATGCATTATTTTAGTATCTGAAAATGCATCATATCTTCTTATAGCTTTGCTCAGACTCCAGATTTTCTCCTAATGAGCACCTTCATCTGAGGGAGAAGCTTCAAGTTGTTTTTTATTTCACTGGATCACTCTTGAGAAGGGGAACCTTAGGTTGCATTTGGCTTTGATCCGAGAATGGTGGCTCCAGCAGCTGGTATTTCGACTTATTTTTTGTCAGAAGCACGTAGGTAGTGTAGTACCAAAAAAAGTATAATTTTACTG